TGAGCACCTTATAGCAGTCCTTCAGAATTTCTGCCTTTGAAATCCTGGGAACAACCAGATCAGCCAAGCTTCTCCCTGTGCACTGACTGCCCTTGGAGAGATTTGTGGGAAAAGTCCTGTTCTCTAGGGCTGCTATTACAGAAATACTTCAAGTGGATGGCTTTAACAAACAGGAATTTATTCCCTTACAGTTTAGGAGGCTAGAAGTCCAAATTCAAAGTACTGGCTCTAGGGGTTGAATGAAGGCCCCTTGATGTTGAGTTTCAGCTCTGTTTCTTACTCCAGGCCCACTGGAGCTGAAGGCATCTCCTAACTCAGACAGCTGCTAGTTGCAAAGGCTTGATGAATCCAAGATCAGCAAGTAAAATGGCACAATCCCAAGATCAGTAGGCAGTGTGGCAGGCCACTGGTTCAAGTCCGGGAATTGGAGATGAAGACAGCCAATACAGGATCCAGATGTGCCAAAAAGCTAGAGACTGTTCCCAAAGTTCTTCCATATATACGGGAAGCAGGCTGCACCCCAAAGGCAACTCCTCTTCCATTGATTAGCATCTCACAGCAGATTTCCCATGTAGTTGATTACACCATATCCAATCTCATCATGAGGAATAACTATGCCCACCTGTCACACGACTCAAAACCAAGGCCCAGCTAAGTTGACATACAACCTTAACTACCACAGTCCCATTTCAGTGAGGGTGCTGTTTTCCTCCAACTGGATTGGGGAGAAAATGATAAGGCCAGCTGTTTTATGTGTGTGGCTCTGATGGAATTCCTGAAGTTTTTAGTTTTGTTCTCCAAGCCAGGTCTGAGGGGAAAACTTCTAACTGGCAGAGGGTTTTCTTCTCCAGCCTCTGAATTATGTGTGTGTGTTTAAACCCCATACCTGCTATCTCTGGCAATCTTCAGTCAAGGAGAAAGCCTGCAAAGGGTCATGTCTTATCCTTCTCAAAGCCTGTCGTGTTGTTGTTGTTGTTGTTAAAAGAGCCTGTAATCTTCGTGAAATTAGTGAGCCCTTTCTGAGTTATTCTTTTACTATCCACTGTACCATCTAATGCTCATGAGCTAAACAGCTCATAACATTTTTCATTCTCCCCGAAATTATTTTGTACCTAGAGTTTTATTTAAGATATTTTAGATGAGTCTGGGGCTATCTGTTTTTTTTTTTAAATGGTAATTGAATATATTTTGACATACTTTTTTTTTTTAATTCATTTTGTTGGATGTCAGAGAGCTGGTAGTGTTTTTTGGTTTCTATACACATACGCAATCTTTCCCAGAACACACAAGTATTTACTGAGCACCTCCTGTGTTCTTAGTGCCTGTGATAGGAAAGATATGTCAGAAGTAAAAGATATGTCAGAAGTAAAAGTTATGATACAGTTGTGAACAAATGCAACCATTTATAATATAAGGGTTGAGTAAGAATGTGAGAAAATGCTGTCACAGTGCCTTTTTTTTTTTTCCCCCTTTCTTTCTGTTCTATTTTCTTTCTTATATTTGGGATGGATCTCAAGATGTAGATGAGTGTGAGGTTTCCGGTCTGTGCAGGCCTGGAGGACGATGTATGAACACTCATGGGAGTTTTGAATGCTACTGTATGGATGGCTACTTGCCAAAGAATGGGCCTGAGCCTTTCCATCCAGTCAGAGATGCGACGTTATGCACAGGTGGGTTTCTGCCAAAGAATGCAGCATCTAAAGGTGAGATTCTTGGATGGTGACATTTTCCAGCTCTGCACCTCTGTTTATGAGTCTGTATTGGGGATCCGGGTGGAGGTTATCTGTTCCTTTGCACATCTGTGCAACCTATGAAATAAAGCACATGACAACATAATCAAAAAAGAAGTGACAAGATTAAAAAAAGCTAAAATTGGTAAAATGTAGGGATTTTTG